CGCCTAAGGAATGTGCCACGCCCCCCTTCTACAAACTCTTTTATATATACCCTCGTATAAGCACCTACCATTGACATGTTTGCATACCAAATTTCAGGTTGGTGTGACCAATGGTTCCGGAGATATAGCTGATAAAAATCTCCACGCCTATGGGATGTGCCACGCCCCTTCAACAAACATGTTTATATATACCCGCCTATAAGCATCTACCATTGACATGTCTGCATACCAAGTTTCAAGTTCATGTGACTTATGGTCTGGAAGTTATGGCTTATCAAAAATTTCACGCCTATGGGAGGTGCCACGCCCCCTTGTCGGATCCACATTTTTTTCACCCTATTATAGGCCCAGATGTAATGGCAATACTCTGTCAAAATTTTGTTCAATTCTGTCCGTCCGTTTAGACTGCAACCTGGCACATACATACATACATACATACATACTTTCACAAATATATAGTAGACTAGCTTATACAAATATGAAAAATAATTTTATGATGTTATATTTTATTTCTGTGCCCATTTTATTATAGGTGTTAAGGTATTTAGGCCATTTAAAACTAGAAAATTATAAAATTTCGTCTGCGCGCTAAGCATACGAAAGATATCAATCCCTCTAAGTTTACCTTAAAATGGTTCCAGGGATACGACGCGTGAACGTGTAACCTTCTTGGAGATGCCACGGCGGGTTCTAATATTTCTAACTCAAATTTAGTAACCTGGCCTTGATAAAATACCACTTCTCATTACTGTAGCAAATGCCTGAAGAGGTAGGTATGCATCATGAGAGCTTTAGATTATAAGGCCGAATAGATATCTATTAAGAAATTTTTAATAGGTGTGGGAGGCGACATGCCTCCTTTTTTAATAACTCACATGTTTTCCAAGAGCAGTTGACACAGTTTGTATACACAACTCCATACCAAGTTCCAATGTTCTTCCACATTTCCGCGGGATATGTAGCAAGAAAAAGTCAATTTGTACAGGAAGTGCCACGCCCCCTTTTCTTATAACCCTAATCTTCTTCCATGAATTTAGAATTGATTTTACATACCTTAGTACCAAGTCCCAGTACTCTACCATGAACACCTCTAGAGATATGCAGTATAAAAAGTAAATTTGTACGGGAGGTACCATGCACCCTTTTCGAATAACGCAAATTTTTCACCATGAGTATGGAATTAATTTTGTATACACATCTCGGTGCCAAGTTCCGCAATAAAAACCTCCAGAGATATGCAGCATAGAAAAATCAATTTGCATGGGAGTTGCCACATCACATTTTCCAGTAACTCTCATTTTTCTCCATGAGTATGGTATTAGTTTCACATACATATATACATATGTATGTATTTCCATGCCAAGCTTGAGTACTTTACCCCAAACATTTGAAGAGATATGCAATATGAAACTTTCAGTCAGTATGGGAGGTGCTACGCCTTTTTTCCAAAAACGTCCATTTTTCTCCGTGAGTATGAATATGATTTCACACAGTGTTGGAAAAATGTTAATATGATTAACGATTAGCATTTAACGATCAAAATGTTAATCGCGTTTGACGATTAATTAGTCGTAATCAACTGTCGCTGGCTGCGATTACGATTAATTAATTTTGATCATTAATCGTTAATCCAATTAAAAATAAAATCTGATTAAGTTGTCTAGTTTGTCCGAATTTGAAACCAAACACCAGTTATAGTAATTCTTTTGTGTTTCACGCGTATAAAAAGCACATAATATAAAAAAAATATAATTATTTTTTCAGTAATACATAAACTGGGAACTTTTACAAACCTGTTTTGTAAAACGTTTGTTGGTATAGATCTCAATGAAAATTCACACCAAATTGTTCGGATTGAAGAGGAAACCCGACTTAGCCATACCGGATTAACTTGCTTTGTTTGCACAGGAAAATTCCAGCATAAATTAATTAATCACCAAACCTACTTGATCAAATTAAGAGTTAATGTTTGAAAATTAATTTTTTAATCGCGGTTACGATTAACTGTTTAGTCAGATTGGAATTAATCATGATTAACTGTAATCAGATTGAATTTAATCGAATTAACTAATTGATTTAAAAATCAATCGATCAATCGATACCTCTATACCAAGTTCCAGTTCTCTCCCGCAAATACTTCCAGAGATATGTAGGTAATATGAAAATTCCAATTTGTATGGGAGGGGCCTGAGTTATCGGAATTACTTTCAGTCTAAGACCATCCTTGCGAAATCCGTAGTAAGTGCACCAAATTTCGTTCTGATCGGGAAGCCGGTTAAGGATGTAGCCTATTTTTCAATCCACGTCATAAACCATCTGTGAGCAAAATTTAATTTTCAAACAGGTGACAATTCTTAAAAGAGTAGCCTATTTTCCAATCTAGGTCATAAGCTATCTGTGTGCAAACTTTTATGCAAATCAGTTCAGTCATTTCCGCGTATTAATTTAATTAAACTTTTCTAATAGGTGGCAACACTTAAAATAGTAGCCTGTTTTCCAGCATTGGTCATAAGATATCTCTGTGCGAAATTTCATGCAAATCTGTTCAGTCATTTCCGCGTATTAATTTAATTAAACTTTTTTAACAGGTGGCAACTCTTCCAAAGAATTAGCCTATTTTTTACTGTAGGTCATAAGCTATCTGCTTGCAAAATTTCATGCAAATCCGTTAAGACGTTTCCGCGCATTAATATAATTAAACTTTGTTAGCAGGTGGCAACTTAAAAAATTAGCCTATTATCCAACCTAGCTCATAAGCTATCTGTGTGAAAACTTTCATGCAAATCAGTTCACCAATTTCCGCGTATTATTTAAATTAAACATTTCTAACAGTTGGCAACTCTTAAAAAAGTAGCCTAGTTTCCAACCTAGGTTATAAACTATCCGTGTGCAAAATTTCATGCAAATCCGTTGAGTCGTTTCCGCGTATTACTTTAATTAAACTTTTTTAACAGGTGGCGACTCTTAAGAAACTTAGCCTATTTTCCAATCTAGGTCATAAACTGTGTGCAAATGTTCATGCAATTCCGTTCAGTCTTTCCCGCATATTAAATAAATTGAACTTTTTTAACAGGTGGAAACTCTTAAAAAGGAACAGCATATTAACCAATCTGGCCCATATCTCCGTACAAAATTTCATGCAAATCCGTTCAGTCGTTTCCGCGTGATGATTTCCCAAACATCCAAACATACAAACTTTCACATTTATAATATTAGTAAGATTATTATATTATACCATAATTAAATTATTTTTTTCTTACTTTTTACAGTACAGTTTAGGCAAGTTCCAACGTTATGTAAAAGCCTTAAAAAATCCGAAAGTATTTTGTTTGTATGAAATAATATTTCACAAACAAAATACATGAGGAAAAATTACCGAACACCAAGTTACCGAGTACAAATTTGTATGCTCAGAATCTAAAATTCAGTACAAATCAGTACAAATTTTGAAAAAAATCAGGACATTAGCGTATTGATTGAAGAAATGAATAAAATTAGTACGAGAGATGAAAAATCAGTACTGTACTGATAAAATCAGTACGTCTGGCAACCGTAAGACGAAGTCGCATTAAAAATTTGCATGCAATTAAGTTAACTAACAAATTTGTATTTTAACTCTTCAATAAGTTCATATTAAACTTTATGCAATATAAATTCTTTGTAGGGCTCGGTACAACTCAATTGTTACAATAACAAGTAATTTTTAAGCAATAAACACAGCCGACTTCAATTCTCTTATACAAATTTAGAAGCACCGTTAATTTCTTCACGATCCACGGCCTCCCCTGAGGCACCAGAAAAAGAATTATCGAAATCGGTGAATGTGGTCCAAAATTATGCGGTAACATACATAAAAAAATATTCCGATGAATTGATAATTGAAATTATTATAAATTTTTAATAGCTATATTTAACATTTCTAATAAAGTTTACATTAAAAAATCTCAGTCACCACATATTTATATATTTACGCGTATCTATTTACATTTATTTATGTACAAGTCTACAAAATCTTATTACTTATAAAGCGATTTTTAATCTTCGTTGCTTAACACACATTTTCTCAAATTTTTCTATATTCTGAAAAAAATAGCATGAAATGTTAACTACTCTTGCAAAAGTCGCTATAATACTTATTTACACACTTTCAAATGTCTCCTCTTCGTATGAACTTAGAAAACTGCAAGAAAACGTGGTAGTTTCGGTGCCTAGTGGAAGAGGTCGCAAAAAAGAAGCAAACCAATCTTCCTAGAGGAGAGAACGCGAAAAGCTAAAAAAGCTAGCTATGTAAAAGTTACTGTTTCAAAACTTGCAATATTACATTTTTAAATATAAAATTTGCAAATCTACCATGCTGCAACTTTTATTTTTTAATGGTATTAGGCTCTTATTTATCCAAATTTTCAGGTAATAAAAAAAGATACAGTTCGGATGTTACTTGTTGTCGTAGACGTTTTTTTTTTTAAATTTATGGTTTACTTTTATACAATCACAGCGCTGTTTGCAAGTGGACTACTCATATATTCATTAAAAGATAATTTGTCATCCGTCTGAAATAAAAAAAATGTTTAATCAGAAGGATAAAATAGTATTGTGTTTTTAATTCAAAAGTAAATAATTGTAGTTCAATGAAGATAGAGCCCCCCCATATCCCCCCCTGGCTACGCCACTGGGCTCATATAATAATTTTTAAAAGATTATTTTATATACATTATACCAATTGCATCTTTACTATTTGTATATTTCTCCATATCGCACACCGTCTTCAAAAGAGTCACAACTCAAAATAATACTGTAAGCATTTCTACATAGGTAAATGTAAATAGTACCTAAGCGAGCATGTTTATTGTTAGCATTAAGTCATGTTAGCTGTAAGCAACAATGTAAACAGCTCTAAACGTATATGTAACTAGTATGTAAGAGAGGGCCAGAGTCTGTTGAGGTCATAAGGATTTCTCGTAATAGATACACTCTGTCTACACACTAAGGAGTATGTTCAGTAAAAGATGTCATATGTATACTTTAGCGTGGGGGATTAACTCCATCTTGCAAAAATAAAAGAAGACATTAGATTTTGTGCGTAGCTACGAAAATGACGTGTTTTAATTCGATACCACTAAGACCTGATATATTACATCAGAAGTGGTCCGCGAAACCATTCCTATTAAAAGTACAGCCAATTTTAAATAAAGTAATGGAAAGTGAGAACATAAGTGCTGAGCGATATTCGCTGTTGCAGCTGAAGGCCTGGTGCACGGCCGTTGGGCTAAACGCGAGTGGCGCAAAGGCCACTTTAGCTGCAAGACTCAGCGACCTATCAGCGGAGGCACGTGGACTGTGCCCTGGAGAAAATGTAGCTGAAAATTCAAAAAGGCAAGGTTCAGCA